TGAGATCCTTTTTGGATGTGCTGACTTTGAAGTAACTGAGATACATCCAGATGGAATCATCCAGGATTCAGCTGGAAATGCTGGTTTAGAGCTCAGGAGAGGATGGCGTAGGAGGGGAGGCTCTGAGTCATCGTTGTACATGGTAGCTGAGGTCCCAGAGATGGATGAGGTTTGTCCAGAGAGTATGCAGGAGAGAAAGAGGCTGGCACTGATCTCCCCAAAGGCAGTGCGAAGTAAAGGTTCTGGAGGTGACCCTCAAGCAGTGTGGCCCTGGCCAAATTGCTTCCCCTCTTTGAACTTCAGTTCTGTGAAAGCAGAGGATTAGACGATCTCTACGTCCTTTCTCTGATATTCAACCACTCATGGTTAATAAGACACCTGCTCAGAACCAGGAAAGATGCTCGGTGCTGAGCGAACACCCGCCATTACAAGCAAATCCCCGACTTTCCAGTGGGAAAGACAGACACATAAATAAGTCCTCTCGATAGTCTGTGATTAACAGCTATCATAAAGGCAAGAGTGAATTGCAGCATGAGAGAGTCCTGAGTGGAAGTGCCTGTCTGGGGGAATTCCAGCATGGCCCTCAAGAGATGAAACCTGATCTTGGTCTTGAAGAACTAATAGAAACCTCCCAAACAAAGGCAAAGCCAAGTGTCAAGGCATGGGAAAGTGAACGCACATGAAATATCTGGGAATGGATTGCTCAGTGAGCTTGACCGGAGAGGTGATGTGGCTTAGAGCGGAAGGGCAGGGCCAAGCTAGCCTACAAAGGAATTTACCATATGCCAGGATAGATAAAAAAGAACTTACAGGAGTTCTCAAATATAGTGACAACGTGATTAGAGAGCTGAGTGGAAAGGAGAGGGCCACCATATACCCCTAGCAGCTGGCATTTACAAGCCCTTCTCTCTTATCATGATTTGACAAGACAGCAGATGATCTTATAAGGCTCTCCTTCAACATACAAACATATTAAGAAAGTTTTTGTTTAATAGTTACACATCTATGATGGTACATTAAAACAGAAATGCTAAACATGGCTCATTATTGATAGCATCATTCAAAAAGGGGACAGACTCAAAAGAGAGTTTAGGGGCATCTGATTCCGGGCAAAGCTATTTCCAATTACTTGGGGACCGATCTCAAGATCCTAAGGCTTCCTGGCAAGGTCTAAGCCACTCCTGGGACTTGGCAGGGAAATGGTGGCAAAGCCAGAGACCTAGAACTTTGTCGTTCACTAAATCAGATTTAGGATGTTCAAATCCCAGCATCAGGACCAATAAAGATGTTAAAAAAAAAAATCCCAGCATCACTCTTTCCCCATGATCTCTCCACTAGACTCTTGTTTACAATACTATCAACTTTGATTACATTTGAGGAAGGTCTGGCATTTCTTGATTCTTCTCTACAAAATCTAACCTCCCGATCAATACTTTTAAACATTGGAGCCCTTTTTTTAATCTCTCGCTGCCACAGAGGGCCTTACATCCTCCCTCTGATCCTCCATCTTCAGGCTTTTCTCTGCACCCATCGCACTTTCCAAATTTCTCCTTCTTTGCTCTCGCCCTCCAGAGAGTCCAAAAACATTGCAGACAGGCTCATCTTCCTTTCAAATCACTATTTCTTGCTGCTTCTTGAACGTTTGTGAAGAAGAAAAGGTGAGGCAGAATGGACGTTAAAGAGCAGAGTTGTGGCTGAGAGACACAGATGTGAAACACCACCTGATAGGTCCATCCTCTGAGCCTCTGAGCGCCCACAGAGCTCTGCCCTCTTGGCTCCCAAGACACTTTCCTTGTTCTCTCCTCTCCTCCAACGTCCTCGTGCACTGGCTCACTTTTTCCGTTGTGTCCTCTAGCCCACTGCCTGGTAAGGCCCCTAAAAACCGCACCAGCATCCGCGCACAGAAAAGGCACTTCCTAGAGCCCTTCAAAGCGCCGTAGAGGCCAACGCTTCTGCTTCCGCTATTGCGTTTCCAGGAGAATAATCCCTCCGACCTCCCACTGCAATTCTCACCAGACGAGGCTGCTTTATTTCCCTTCTGTAGCTCAGGCCTCAGATGACAGTTTTTAGATTCTACCTTATTCTTGTTCCCTTCCTTGTTTCTGCCATGGATAATACCTCCATATGGCCTTTTAACTGGTGATCAAGTAAACAATGGCAAAGGTGGCTGTGGGTTTGAAGAGTCCAAAAAAATGGAAACTCAAGAACGTCAAACATGTCTTGTTCGGTGAGAGGATTCAGCTCACACTTAGTGTATGTGGATAAACATCCTCTTCCCCTTGGGCAGAGAAATCCAAATATGGAAACTCTGATTACTACCCTATCTGTAAAAGGCAAAGGCCCTGCTGTCCTGGTTACCTCAGAGACTCTCAAGACAGAGATTCTCATCAACCACCACACTCATCACCCTGGACCTCTGTCCCTCCGTCCTACAAATGCCAAACGGGATAATATGCATTACTCAGTGACTTAAAACCTCTCAAGGCTCCATTTGGCTTTCCTATACCCACTTAAGGAACACAGTCACTGTCAGAGGTCAAAGCTCATTACAGCTGGAACCTAAATCCAACGCCCTTGAGATATAAAATGTAGCTCTAGACAAGACCTTCCTGGCTCTGAGTAATTCATTATGGCTTCTGAGACCTCGGCAGGCTGGGTCTCACAAACCGAGGATCATATTTGCTATGAAAAGACACCGGTTTGAGAGAGGGATCCAAACAAATGAATGAGGGGAGCTTGGTCCGTGCGGAAGAATTTCTGACACTCGTCAAAGAAATCCAGACAAGTCAGTGGCATCCGAGAATGACCAAGTCACTTTCAGTGGAGAATGAATGCAAGGATTGAAAAGAGCAAATGTAGGAGCACAGAGGAGGGATTCTGAAGGTGTCCTCAATCTTCCCTCAGAATCATGGGCTGTTAGGACTGGAGATTTTTACTCCAACAACCTCATTATACCAAGAAAAGAGAGACCCAGAGAGGGGGTAATGAGTCTATTGCAGCCCTATAGCTCATAACAGTTTTGAAATTAAAACCCAAATGAACCTTCCTCCTTACCTACTTCCTCACTCCCACTGTCCCTGGGGAGGTTCGTATCCTTCCAGGCATCAGTACAAAGACTGAGGAGTAATGCTTCCGTGGAGCAGGCAGCCAGCAAGAGGCACTGCCCCTCACGGTGCCAGGAAAGCCAGGTTGGTTTCTGGCACCCCATCCTAGTTCCTACTGACCTGCTCCCATGAGAGCTCAGAGGGTCATACACTCTTGTCTGTGCATCCCCGCTTCACTGCCTTCAGCCACTGTCCTGGCTGGGCCAAAGGGACAGACAGCATTAATAGGGATTTACGGTGGAAGTTATCAGCATTATTCAGGATAATATATGAACACCTCTGATACTAAACTTGTCCCCTTATATTTTATCTTGAAACAGACCACACACACACACACACACACACACACACACACACACACACTTTTCCTCTGAACCAAAAGCATAATACAGAGGAGTGCTTCTCAAGCTTCATGTGCATACGAAGCACCCAGCCCAGGGATCTTCTTAAAATGCGAATTCTCATTCAGTAGCTCTGGGATGGAACCTGAGATTCCACACTTCTAACAAACTCTCAGGTGATGTCCGAGGTGCTGGTCTGAGAACCACATTCTGAGTAGCAAGGGGCAGATGTTACAAAATCTTGCAAACAAATATAGGTTTAAATTCTCATTCCACCAATTAGGAGCTCTCTGATCTTGGGCTGGTTTCCTAAGTTCACCCTGCCTCAATCATCTCATCTCTAAAATGGAAATAACAATATCTAAGATGCACTTGATGATGACTACATAAGTTAATGATGAAGAGATCTTAAACAGTACCTGGAACATAATAAGAGCTTAATAAATGTCAATTGCTGCCTGCCTCTAAGATTCACGAGGGCAGATATGACATCTGTCTGGCTCATTGCCAAAATCCCAAAGGCGAGAATGTATGTAGAATGGATGTCCGTGAATGAATGAATGAATGAATGTGTGTATAATACACCCACACATAATTTCAGTATTTACATACTTCCTTGGTTCTATGTCTTTCTGCAGGAAAACATAAAACATTTAGAACACCAGAACACTCTCACCAGTACCAAACCACCATATCTCATAGAAACAAATTCAACGTGAACCACCATGGTTAACCAAGAAACATACAATTTGTGATGGCTATATATACTTGAGAAAAAGTCTTAACTGTAAACAAAAAAAATCAACATCAGTCTGGAATCTCTATGTCATTAAGGGAAATCACTGCCTTACTCATTATTTATGGGGTTGTCTGAATGCAGATGTTATGAAAAACTTAATTCGAAAACTAAGGTCACTTCCAAACCACATGTAGATTTGCAAAGAGAGACAAAACAGACTATGGGAATTGAGACCACTTTTGAAAGGTCAGTAATACATTCTCCTGTATATGTACACACTTGCTCAGGAAAAATCAGAAACAAAACAAAAAACGGCTAACAAATGGTTGAGCTTAATCTTTTAAATCAAAGGCAGACAAGTGAGTCCAACCAAAATTCTTCAACAATCTAAGATTATCTTCAGGCGTCTCGTAAAGTAAAGTGGCATCATTTAAACATGTCCCATTTCCAGGGAGGCACTGTGTACAGTATGCAGCAAGAAGGGAATACGATTGCCACCTACAGACAGAAGTGGCACTCCCTTTGCAAGAGTTGGCCAATCATATTTTAACGTGGAAAAAAAAAATTCAACAAAGTCACCTCCTTCCAACCTCTCTCAAACCACCACACAACATTACTTCATTTAGAATTACTTTCAAGTCATACAATCATCTCTAGGCATTCTGCCTCTTCATTATCATCATCCTATTTCTAATTTCCCAGAAACACTGTGCCATTCAACTATCTACTTATACACTACTTGAGAGCCAAAGAGAATGTAAGCCAATAGATTTCAAGCAGGCGAAGGCATCAGAGTGGAAGTATAAATCTGCTTACCTGGTATGAATGGGACTACCCGGAATATATCAGACAATCTGCTGTTAACTGGTTCATACGGGGAATCTTCAAGCAGATCATTTCCTAAAAACAACAGAAAGATTGGACTCAGATCTGGAAAACAGATATATTTCAGTCAGTTTTCGTTACTGAATCTGAATTCTAATTATGTTATGATTGTGTAACAAAAAGATGCTGAAACTTTCAAAGATTTCAAATGCCTCTATTTGGCTCTGGTTATTTCTCTTCATTCCCTCTGCCTCTGTTGTCCTGGCTCTCCCCATAGTGCCATGAAAACATTGGAGAGCAACCCAGCCTGATCTTGCCAGAAAACTCTCCCACTCTTTGCAAAGGAATGAAATCAGAGAGGAAGGAACCAGTGACGTCACAAGCCCAGCTTGCCTCCAGGAGCCAATAGAAGAACAAAGCTGGCCCTTTTTCTTACTCCCAAAAAATGCCATGCAGTCAGAAAGCAGGTACCCTGGCTATTAAACACTACATCTCTGAAACAGGTTTTCGTTAGTAGGTTCTGGAGGAAGTGGCAGCTGAGAGGTCAAATCTGTATATTACAAATTTTGAGCCTCAGACTCAGTGGAGAATGAATGCACTGAATGTTTGAGTCAGATTTACAAACGTGACCCACCTCTGGCACACAAGGACCAAAAAACTGCCCCTGTAATGAATGGCTATGACAAGTAGACCTTGCCCTCTCTGAGCCACTTCTGCACTAACCAAGGCTGAACTACACCAGCTGGTTTAAGACTCAGCTAATCTAAGATGACAAAATTTTTTTTCCCACATCTGCCTTTGATTAGTTTTGAGGGGGGTAAAGATAGAATAGATTCCACTGGACCTTTCATTCTCAATTCTTTATCTTATGTCAGTATAGATAGAAGGAAAGAAGAGAGGGGGGAAATCCAGGCAAGATGCAGTGGAAGCCTTTGGATCATCCTGGGAAGCCAGGCCTTTAACGGATTCCTACTCCGATGTTCCGACCAAGTTTCAAAGAGGTCAGCGGGGTCCCTGGGATGTCCCTTCACCCCCTCACGGGTTTTCCAACAACCAGACCGGCAGCAAACACCAGCTGCCCACGTCCCTGGGGGCCAATGAAAGGTCCTCATTCTGCAGCTGGGGAGAAGTGAGTGGAGGATGAGGTCAGCCGGACCCCGGGCCTAGGGACCCGCCTGCCTTCAGGGGCTGGGGGAGGGGGAAAAGAAGACGGTCGCGTACCCTGCAGGCTCTGGTACATGCTCCAGTAGATGCGCAGACAGTTCTTCTCCTTCTTCATACCCCGCTTGCAGCGGCAGTTATAAAGCGACTTCTGTTTGAGGGCCTCCATGGCGCTGCGGCACTCGTCCTTGGCCTCCAGGCCCGATGTCAAGCTGAAGTTGGTCTCCTTGCCCGCCACGCACTGCCTGAGCGTGCGGTACTTGGTGCTGCAGCTCTGCTCTTTCAAGCACTGATCGCTGGCTTTCACGCAGTCCAGGCGGTCCCCGCCGCTGACCTCGGCCGACAGGAGCACGTCTTGTGGGGGGGAGGGGAGGGAGCGTGAGTGCGGCTGAGCTGGGGCGCGGTGCGCCAGCCGTGGGGGAGGACGCGCGCAAGAGCAGCCTTCTGCGGCTCTCGGCTCCCGGAGCGCGTCCGCCCCCCTACGCCTGGGGGGTCCATCTTCCCGCCCGGGCACCTCCTGCCGCTAGTCTCCCCCTACCCAACCCCCGGGGCGCCCCGAGGCTTTGCGGGCTTTTTGCGGTTTGCCCGCGAGCCAACGCTGCCCACCGCGCGTGCAGGCCCTGCCGCCCCGGGACCGACCAGCCTCAGCGGCTGCTCGGCCTCCAGGGCTGCCCTCCCGCAGTTCCCGGCTCCAGCCACTCTCTCGGCCCGGCCCGACTGAAGCCCGGGGGCTTTCGGCAGGGGAGAACGGCGGCGGGCTGGGCGTTGCACGCGGAGAGGGTGAGCCCTGATACCCGGCCCGCCCGGCGGGGAGCACCGAGATGCTATTCCGGGAAAAGTTTTCCCTTCCAAGTTTGCTCTCCTGGCCCGGTGCTCGCCCACACCCCACCTGCCCCCCCGCGCCTCCGCAAGCTCCCCGGGACTTGCAAGGGGCGTCGGGCTTGGGGCTGGAGGGCTCGGACGCTTTAATTTCCCGCCAGGCTAGGTCATTAAAAACGTAGGAAACAAAAACCAAGGAAGAAAAGCTGCGGGCAAGTGCCGCGCCACCCCTGCCCCACCCCCCAGCCCGGGGTGCTGAGGATTCAGGATCCCCTTCCCCAAAACGAAACTTCGCGGTCCCACACCGACCGCGCCCGCGCCGCAATTTTTTTTTGGGGGGGGAGGGGGTACTGGGGGGCTGCCTCTAGTACTCTCCAAGAAGACTCAGCGGATAAGAAAGCTAGCGGCGGCCTCAACTTACCCAGAAGCGGCAGTACGAAGTACAGGGTCGCCAAGAACATGGTGCCGGCGCGCAGCTGGTCCCCGCCCCCCCGAAAATCCAGAACTGCCGCTGGGTCTCGCCGAGGGAGCTCAGCACGCAGCGATTCCCGGACGGCCGCGCTGCTCTGGCCGCCCAAAGTTCAGCTCCATCCAATGCGAGAGGAAACTCCCCGGTCCGTCCGCCGCTACCGCCGCCGGCGACTCAGCTCCGAGCGGGCTGCTGGCTAGAGGGCGGGAGGTGGTTCCGCTTTTAGAGGTTCAGGTCCGACCCAACCTGGAACGGAGAGCGCGCTTTGAAACGAGAGCGGAGAGCGCTGGAGCCTCCCCCGCCCCTCTGCCCTCCCCTGCTCCCGCCTAGGGGGACTTTTTAGCGCCCGGGTGAGGGCCCACCCCCTGCCCGGGTCGGGGCGCGGGGAGGGGGTGCCGGGGGTGCATGTGCGTGTATTCCGGGGAGCCGCCTGCACGGGCAGGGTGGAGGCTGGAGAGGTCGGAGGCGGGCTCCCGAAGTCCAAGGGGGTGTCTATTGGGTCCAACCCAAGAGGCTGAACGCAAGCAAATAAATAAATAACGTTACTTTCCGAGCGGGGCGAGCGGAGCCGGCCGCTGCCTGGAGTCTAAGCACTCGGCGGCGGCAGCTCTTTCTCGCGGAAAAAGCCCCTTCTCCCGGGAAAACCCCTTCTCCCGGGAAGTTCGCCACCCCCCTCGTCGCACCAGCTAGCTCGCTCAGCCAGCCCTCCCCACCCAAACCACCAATCGCTGCCCCCCATCGCTGTATCCCCTCCTCCCCGGGCTCGCCTCCGTTCCGAGGCAGCCTGGAGAGGGGGAACCTACGTCCCGGTTGGAGCCGAAACCCGGCTCCTGCGCCCCTATCCGCCGCTCGGTCCTCTGCTTGCTCCTTGGCGTCCGCGCCGCGCATACACACTAGCCCAGCGCCCTGGCGTCCGGCACATCAACGCTGCCACCCAGGCCGAACGCACGGGCCCGCAACCCCGGAGCGCCAGGGCAGGTGCAGCCCCGCGCCGCGCACGCCCCTGGGCCCCAAAGTTGAGGGGCGCCTACAAGGGGGGTAGAAGGGAGTGGGGGAGTGGCGGCGGGTTCCCAAGCCGACAGAATGAGAAAACTCTCTCCAAATGCCACCAACCTGGGCTCAATCGACCGTTTCCAGCTGCGGCGAGAAGCCAGTTTATTTATTTATTTATTTATTTGGGTGGGAGGTGTTGTCGCCCTCTCCTTCCCTTTCCAGGCTCACGTCTCTGCGCTACGAAGAAAGATGCAGTAATCTCCGAGAGCTCAGAAGATCGATTTGGGCCAGGATGATTTCCCAGCAGAGCCCCGGCTCGGATGCCCTTTAGGGATGTTAGTGTTTATTGGGAGATGCGCGGCGGGCAGCGGGTTCCGAGGCCAGAGTTCTTTGCCAGAAGCCCCTCCGCCTGCCCCTGCCACCCCGCAGCACACCGCCAGCCCCCTCTGATACTCGCCGGCAGGGACGCCGCAGATACACACACTAGCGGGCGGTGGGACCCGGGGCCAGATCCCGCCAGCGCGCACAGGACACACAGCGCTCTGCAGCCGGCCGCTAGCGCCGCTTAGTCTCTCTGTCTCTCTCTCTCTGTGTCTGTCTCTCTCACACACACGAGGGCACAATGCACAAGGGCTCTTTCTTTTTCCGTCCTAGCGCAATCAAACCAGACCCTTCTTCCGAACATAAAGTTTTTCCCCACGTCACTCGCGGCTGTGACTCCAAGACTTGGCGTGTTAAAAACACACTCAGACCCAGGCCCTCGGAGCTGCGATCGCGGGATGCGCCCACCCAATCATCCACCAACGCGCTCACACTCACAGATGCACACGCAGCCTTTACCTCTCTCCTCGAGCTTGTACAAGGAGACAAAAGCGGAACCCCTGACCCACTGCATTTAAACCGCGTCAGACCTGGCTCTGGGAAATTTATAAACTGACCTCCATCTTGGCTGTTTCAAAAGTAAATTTTAAAATAATAATAAATTTAAAGGTTCAACACACGCACAGCCCTTCACCCCAATCCTTGGGACCACTCGTTCTCAGCCGGGCTGCCTACCCCCCTACCGCGCCCTGAACACACGCTCCCCTCCTCACACGCCGGGTGGGGAGGGGGGCGCCCGGGACACCGAAGTCTACGCTGTGTCCAGAGAGGGGTCTGGGAAACAGCCCGCAGTCGCAAGCTCGTCCAGCCGCTCAGGACTTGTATTGGGGATCTTTGCTGATGTCTAAGTTCATCTCTTAGGGAAACAGTTTGAATCAAGGGTGGGTGAGCCCAGCTGCCAAATATGCAAACCCATTGTACTAGACAATGGGCTGCCGAGGAGAGAGAAGATCGAGGGGTGGGGCTGGGGGTAATTGAAAAGGGCAAGTGCTTTGGTTGAAGTTTGAAAGCGGGGTGTAAGAGCGGGGAGAAAAGGAAAAGGAAAGGGGAGGGCTGGGTAGCTCTCCATTCAACTAGACATCAGCCGGGCGCGCCCCTTGCTGCTGCGGCGGCCGCTCTCTTGCGTGCGGCGCTTTGTTTGGAGTGTGTCTGCACGTCGACTGGCGCCCCAAACCCCGGGGACATCCCACGGATCTGCGCTCCTGTGCACGTGTTCCTCGGGGGCAGGTATGAGGAGACTGAAGCCCTCATCAAGCACCCCCTTCCTCACGCGCGCGAACACACACACACACGTAGTCACACCACACACGGATTCCTTGTTCAGTGTATCAGTTTACACCTGGTTGTTGAGTAAACGAAGCAAACATATGTCACATTTTCGCGACAGATGGTTCAAACCAAGGGCTACTTAAGTTCCTCTGGCAGTGGTAACAGTCTAAGTTACAGAGCGGACTAACGGAAATGTGATTGTCTTCCAATCAGCTTCTTCACGTTAAAGAAGTTTATTCCCATATTTTCACACACAAACTAGAGAAATCCTAGGGAGGTGGTTTTAGTGAGAGAAGCGTGGAAATGTGAATTAAGAGTTTATCTGAAGTCTGTTTCTCCGTGGACACCCAAAATATAAAATCCTCTTTCATCATTCCTTTTTATAAGCAGAGGTGAATGTCTCCCTTTGGAAAAATCAGTAACTGGAATCCCAATTTTCAGTGGATGGCCTATAGCTTATCATTGCTGACCATGTGGGATGGTTGGATGACAATGAGATTTCATTTAAAGACATCATCTGCATCTTTTTAAAGTGTTCTTTGTTTAGAAATGATCCTATGTTTTCCTACCATTCCACAGGCATCTTTTAAGTAAAATTTTAATAGCAAGCAGAAAGGGTGGAATAAAAGTTCTCCAAATGTAAAACATGGGACTTCTTTTAAAATATTTGTAGCTTCAAGATATTTCTGAACTATTCACTCACACTAGTCTTCATTAAGTTCTTACTGTTGATGAAAACAGACTTTTTTTTTAATAAACCACAAAGTATATACTGTGTTGTCCAATACAGTAGTAGTAGTCACCAGCCATGAGGCTATTTCAATGAAAATTAAATAAAAGAAAAATGCAGTTCTTCAGTAGCACTAGCTACATTTCAAGTGCTCAATAATCCCCTGTGGCTAGTGGATACCATATTGGACAGCACAGATATAGAACATTTCCATCATCACAGAAAGTTCTGTTGAACAGCACTCGTCTATAATGTTGGTGTGAAATTAATGTGGTGTATTTCTAAAGTTCCTAGAATACTAGAACAGGGCAGGCATGAAGTGAGTGTTTTATAAGGAGCAGCAATAGTAGTTAAGGTTGTTGTGATGATGATGATGATGGTGATGTTAATCTTCTGAGAAAGTTGCAGAATCCATGAAAACACAGCACACTGCTGTGTCTCAGAAGGAGATCAGCAAGCAAAGAAGCTAAGGAAAGGGGAATGATCTCCCAAGGATAGCTGTGTATGGAAAGATGTGGCCCTTACTCCATGCTAAGACTTCTTGTAGTAGGAGCTAATAAAAAAAAAACAAAAAAGAAACCTCTTCTTTACAACTATATCCACCACCTTCTAAAAGTAAAAGTAAGAGAAATACATGGCTGGAAAGCTCTTGGAATATAGACGATAGAAATGCAGTGTGAATTACTGTATTAGTATTATCTCTGTTTCCTTGGAGCTTATCTGTTCCCATGTGTACAGGACTGATCTTGGGATGAAAGGTGACATTGAACTATCAAATATTGTTAATAATTAGAAAGGTTCATGCCATCCTCTGTGACATGTTTTCTCAGTGGGAAATTGGTTTTAATGCTACAAAATTAGGTTCAATCCACCCATAAGCACATGAAGTAAGCAATTTTCTTGCATTTCTTGATGTAAGTGTATTTTTGTAAGTTAACAGTTGAGTCATGGTGAGTATGACAGTTTTATTCCATGCAGTATTTTGTCTCCTACTTTCGTTGCCTTGGCCCTATACAGTATAATGCAAAATACATTCATTTTGTCAAATTATACTGCTCAAAAATCACTCAAGGTTTTTTTTTAACTCAAACTAGTCTATCAGATGACATTAGACAGTTTGACAGGCTTACCTCCGTAGCTACACAAAACCACTCATCGTTACCTAAACGTGCCGTGCTTTTTTTTTTTTTTTCTGCAACATCTTTGCCCATGCCGTTCCATCTGCTTCGTATACACTACATCCTGATAGATGAGTATGTGAAGATTCAGCTCAGCTTGAACAGGCCACTAAGGATAGCGAGGACTCCTGTTTGAAGAATCATTCTCTGTAGTGTGTACTCTCACGGACCAGTCGGAATCTTTATTACAGCAGTTGTGACATTGCATTGTAGTTGGTTGCTATATCTGTATCTTCAAATGGAATGTGAGTTCCTTGAAGGCAGGAAGATGTTCTATTCATTTTATTTTTGCATCCCCAGCATCTAGACTGATGAATGACACACAGTCACCTCCAATAAATGTATACTGATTGCATGAATAATGAGTGATGCTGTATCTCATTTTCCTCTGACACAATAATTCTACTGAAAGGTTTACATAAAATCCCTTCACTATAGGAATAGTACTAAATATAAGTACCTCATGCAGTTACTGGCATTGCTGTTCCAATAATAGTATCAAATATGTATTATTCCTTTGGGCATTTGACATTTACTTTTTTTTTAAAAAAAAACAACACCCATTATTGTAATAGAATGCTCTTTTTCTGGTTCATTTTAATAGTAACATATGACATATTTCATTTCTGGGAAATGATAGCTTGCTTTAGGTCATATTTTAAGGCATAAAGCCAGAGGCAGAGTAAAGTTCCCACCTGAAG